GCTTTTCTTCACTCAGACAGCTGCTGGTTGCTAAGGCTGCCAAGCCCAAGGTTGACAAGCAAAAAAGGCACACAGTACCAATGTTACCAAACCACATGGCAAGCCATTAATTCAAGTCCATTGTAAGTCCCAAGGTCAGCAAAGCATGGCAGGCTGCTGAACAACAACAATGGCTACATGCAGGGTCCAAGCGTGCCATAAGCTAGAGACCATTCTCAAAGCTGCTTCTTATATATGGGAAGCAGACCACAGACCCAAAGCAGCTACTCAGCTGCTTGTGGTAGATCCCATCATGGAGTTGATTGCCAGTCTCATCATGGGGAATAACTACCACCAGCTGCCCAGCCACTCAATCAGGCCCAGCCAAGTTGACACACAAACATAACCACCACAATTTGGGATGTATTAGCCCATTTGGGTATCGATCTAAAGCCACAATCCCCATAATCAAAAATAAAGCTGACAGGCAAATACTGTTGCAGACACAGTACTGCATTAACATTAACAGCAAACAATGATCTATGGATGCATACATAGGTAGATAGGTATGGATAGGCAAATGGGAATATACATACCTACAACCATATACCGGTTTGGTAAAAAATATTTCTACATATGTATTTGTGTTGGGCAATCTACTTCCATAGTGATACTGCCTTGGAAACCCAAGGAGGGGTCGTTATGAGTCGGGGCCAACTTGACAGCACATAACAACAACAACATAAAAATGTCCACAGGCAGTTTAAATATAACAGGAGGCAAAGTCAGGATAACTTCTTAGCCACAAATAAGCACCTTGAGGAAATAGGTCACTGGGCCTGAAGGCTAGGGACCACTGTCAGAGGGGACATTAAGCTCAATTGCTACAACATAAAATATTGTTCCACATCTTACTTTGGCAAGTAGCAAGTGGGGTCTTAAAAGCTTGTGAGCAGCCATCTAAGTGGCAATTATTGGGCTCTCCTCATCCACAGCAAAGAAGAGTGAAGAAAAGCAAAAATGCATGGAAACAGTTAGTCCAAGGACCAACAGACCATGAGAACCTCAACCTATATGACCCTGAGACCAGAAAAACAAGATAACCAGCTACCAATACCAACCATTCAGAAAGGGATCAAAATTGGAGATGCTGTTTTGAGTAGAAAAAATTGTGGAACAAAACTCAAAACCATAAAAAACACTAGGTTTTTTTGGTTTGATAGAGACTGGTAAACTTCACAAGACTATGGTTCTGAGTCACCCTTTGAACCTGGAAGGATCTCACTGCCATGGCTTAACTCTCAGCTAGGCAACACACAGGTCTATGAACTGAACACTTGTATCAGAGAGACACACTCCTTAGAACAATTAACCATGGAAGATCAGAAAGGCAGCATTTGCACAGGGAGAAATGTAGGAAAGCATGAATGAATAGGCAAGGACACAGGGAAAGGGTAACCACAGGGAGGAGGTGGGAGGTGGGATATTATACTGTGGGGAATGTAACCAGTAAGGCAAAACACAATGTGTATACAGAGTAGTTGGACCTTTGGGCTCAGGATCACAGTTGCAGAGGACATCAAGCTCAACTGGCATAACATACTACACAAAGACATTATGCTACATCCTACTTTGGTTATAGTGATTGGGGTCTTAAAATCTTGCAAGCGGCCATTTAGATGCAACAATGGGTCTCTCTTTGTCCAGAGCAAAGAAAAATGAAGAAAACCAAAGACAAATGGAAACAATGTAGTCCAAGGTATAAGTAGACCATGCGATCTTCAGCCTATATGACCATGAGACCAGAAGAACTAGACGGTACCCAGCTACCAATGTCAACCACTCAGAAGGGATCGGTACAGGAGACCCTGGATAGAGGAGATCAATGTGGAACAAAACTCAAAATCATAAAAAAAAAAAACAGGTTTACTGGTCCAATAGAGCTTGGTGAGACTCCTAAGACTATGGCCCCTAGTTACCCTTCAGGCCTGGAACTGAACTCACTCCTGTGCTTTTCAGCCAAACAATAGGCAGCATATGGAATAAACATTTACATCAGGTAGATACACTCCTTGGAGCAATCAATCATGGGAGAACAGAAGGGCAGTACATCAATCAATCATGGGAGAACAGAAGGGCAGTATTTGCACAGAGAGAAAGCTCAGGGTGCAGGAGTACATGAAGAGAAGGACACAGGGAAGAGGTAACTATGAAGAAGAAGTAGGAAGAGAGCTGGTACACTGTGGGGAACTGTAGTCACTATCATGAAACAAAATGTGTATGAACTACTGTATATAATGAATATGCTCTGTAAACTTTCACCCAAATCACAATAAAAAATTTTTTTAAAAAAATGTATATACGAAAGCAAACATAGGGATATGGGTGGATAGATGGGTGGACAGGCTGAACTATTAGGTTTGTCTCTGCAGCAGGGAGTGTATCCAAGACCATGTATAGGGTTGGCAGACAGTGGTTGTACAAGTGTATTTGTATGATCTATAAAAATTCCCAGGTGTGTAGTAGAGCTGAAAAGGGACAAGGTTGTAGTCACTTCTTGGTCACAGCCAGCTACCCAGAGGAACCGAGCAGTTGAACCTGTGGGCT